TGCGTTCCTATGGGCTTAAAACCTCACCTTTAAGCGAAAATCCTCCATAGCGCCGCCATTTTCGCTGCCTCTTAAGCGAGGAAAAACAGCAGGTGGCCATTTTGTTTTCCCAGCAGCCATTTTGAAACCACCGATCAGCTGTTTAAAAAGGGTCGCTTTGCCATGATAGCTTCCCCGCGATCATCGCAAAGTGAAAAAACCCCATAGGGACCATCGCAAAAACTCCGTCGCTAAGCGATTTCGTCACTCAACAGAGCGATTGCTATGCGAGGCACTACTGTATAAAGAACAACCTTAGAACAGCAGAGCTAGAAGGGACCCTATGGGTCATTGAGTCCAGCCCCTGTCAAGGAAGGAGGCACAGTGGGGGAATCGAACTCCCAACTTCTGGCTCCACAGCCAGGGGCCTCAACCACTGCGCTACTCATGTGCCTGTCCTTTCAAAGGAACAGTTATCTGGACAGGTGCCTTGGCTGCGAACATGGGGGAAGAATCTCTTGTACCCATTTTACAGAAATACAAATAGACTACAAAGGTCGCCCTGTCAGTAGAGTGTAACGCTTCACGGTTCAGATGGAGCGTGCCCAGAGACACACTCGCTGACTTTTTCTTTAACTGGCCTTATCCCAGTGCTTTTTGTGACAGCCTGCGCCATAAAGCAGGGAAGCTTTCCCTAGTATGATTGTACAGTCCTGTGAAAGAGCTTCTCCTGCTAAATTTCTATATATCAGGCCAAGGTATAAGCAATCAACACTGGTTTAAGTGACACAATATTTAAACTAGTGCCACCAATTGCATTTTTCCTCTGAAGGCTCCATCCTAAGCTCCACAACATGTCCTATTCCAAAAATTTACAACGATTAATTACATGAGTTTGTTGACACCCTCAACAAACTGTCATGGAGAACCATACAGAAGTGCAAAGGGGAGAGGGGTGCACGGGGACAACAACGCTACCATCTCTTCCTTTTCACACACGAGCTGTGCTTGGGCATATGGAGTGCTCTGGTTCTCAATATAATTAGCTCCAAGCATGATGATCTAGCAGTAAATGCCATGCTCTTATCTTCACCATTTGCTTGAAAAGCAGAACATGGCCAAAAATAGCATTCTAAAAAGCTCACCCTGCCCAAGGAATCACCACTACTCCGAAGGGTATCAAGGAGAGCAGCAGCAGCTGCCGCTCATAAGTGTCACTGGCTGGAGAAAGCAGCTGTAAAGTCTTCCATTCTCATACATTCCTATAAAATAAATAAATCAAGTCCTGGCAGAAGAGGAATCCTTCCTACAGGCCACCTAAATATGAGGTAGGGAGAAAGAAGTTATGACATGGAAGGAATGGCTCGCTTTGATACAAAAGATGATCACTGTCATCCCTATTATGGCCTGAAGACAGATTCTTAGATGTGTATGTGTTTGTGTGTGTGTGCGTGTGTGCTTGTGTGTGTGCGCGCACGCACAAACACATATTAAAAAACAAAAACAATGAGTATTCCCTCCAGGAAATTACAGCAATACGGCAAACAAAACAAAAGAAAAAAGCTGGAGAAGGCAACTCTTCAGAGCTCTAAAAGCAAGACAGAAAGAACCAGGGACATATTCACATATGCAGGGCTTACTGCTTCCTCTAAATCTAATTCTCTTCTCTGTACAAGGTGGACAGGCACACCACTCGGAATGACTGAGATGCAGCCAAGCCGAGTGAGCCAAAGACACAAGATCTGGACATAAAACCGCACTGAGCCACCCCAGAGTCTGTGAAATGAGCAAAAAACTAAATGCTTGGCAATGATCCGAGCTTATATTTAGAATTCATATGGATTTGGGGGGGTCAGCAATATTGGCAGTAGAAGACCCAAAGGACTTGAGCCTGGGGGGATGGAATGCCCATCAACCTCCCAAAGTTACTGGACTATTCCCGTTGGCGCCAGAAAGCACAGCCAAGGTTAGGGGGATGATGGAGGTTGCAGTTGACAAAACCTGGAGGGGCACCTCACCTGACCTGTTCTTAAATGACCCCAGTGAGGATCAATAGATGGTTTTTTTTTAAAAAAAGAAATCTTCCCCTGTATGCATTTCTCCTCTTATACCCTCAGTTAAAGAACTGCAGCTGTGTGTCCGGAACCCTGTAAATACGGCAGCTGAAATACCAAATTGGGTAGGAGACACCTGAAGCTGCCAGTTATCTCTGTGTTTCTTGCCCAGATGTTATGGACCGGGCTGGCTAGGAATGATCACAACAGCAGCCCATGCCTGAACGGCACCAGGCTGGACAAAGCACACCGAGCTTATGATGAGAGGCACTGAAGCCGAAACAGCAATAGCGCCATAACAGCCCAGCCTTCGTTGGCAAGTTGAAAGAAAAGGCACAGGCCAAGCACTCGGAAGCGTTGATGCACTTTTGACAACAGACCAAGACTAGCTTACGTTATGGACCGGGCTGGCTAGGAATGATCAGAAAGAACAGCAGCCCACGCCTGACAGGCACCAGGCTGGACAAAGCACACCGAGCCTATGATGAGAGGCACTGAAGTCCAAACAGCAATAGCGCCATAACAGCCCCAGCCTTCGGTGGCAAGTTGAAAGAAAAAGCACAGGCCAAGCGCTCGGAAGCGTCGATGCACTTTTGACAACAGACCAAGACTAACTTATGATTGCCACCATGAAGGCCACAAGGCAGGGAAGCTGCTACACAAAATAAACCACAAGCACCTGGGCTGGCACATGCAATTGGCCATGAGGCTGCTAATGCAAATTCAAAATCAGATCCTCCACTTGGAAGGTTCCTCACAGTTATTGCACTGAGTCTGTGGAGGAGAGGCGGCTGCTTGCATGTAGGCTCTACAGGTGTTACATGTGAATGGGAGTCCTGGAAAATCAGGGGTACACAGGAGCAGGACTATCCTCCTCTTACAGCTTGGCACTGTAACCATGAAGAACGCAGCCGTGGAGGGAAGGAAAAGAGGATTTATATGCTCGCCTTTAAGCGTGTTCCAAGCACCAGGTGGTGGAACGTCTAAATAGGGCTCTTTCCTTTTCATTAAAACCCATCATTACCAATCCAGGGATGACTCCTGGATATGAATCCTGTGCTGATCAGAAGTTGATACTCCTTTCTGGGCAACAGAACAAACCATCTGCCTCCTTCAGGAAGGGCTGCTGCCCAGGCAACAACACAGCACAACATATACCAAGGACATTCCTCCCAAGTCGCATCTACCAAATAATGACAAGGCTGGGGAAAAGGTTCTCCCTATTATCCAGTCCGTCAAAAAAAGGAAAGAGAGAAGGCTCTTCCAGTGAGTTTGCTTTGGAAGCACTGGACATCAGAAGAGGCACTATCCCTTGTAAATCCTCCCTTGATGGCATGCCAAAGACTCAACGCATGGCAGGAAACACCACGCTGCATACATTTTAAGAATCTTAAATGTGGAAATAAGACGGTTGCAGGAGGCAAAATGCCAAAAGATCGCTACCGCTTCGGTAGAATGAGGAATAATCCACAGCCAAGTCATGGAGGCTCAAAGCAGCATTACAAACATTTTTTTTATATCTTGGTCCTCAAGAAAGTAAAGTGCTTTGCCTGCCCACCCAGTTTCCCAGCGAAGAGGTCTGGACAAGGGCTCTCAAAAATGCTGGGCTATTGACGGAGGAGTGGAGAGGGGAGAAAGGAAGCAGGCCATCCATTGTATCAAACTCTTAAGAAGGAAGGCGTGTTTGGGTAGCCTATCTTGGAAAAAAAAGAAATCACACCTTGGTTACAGCATATCTGGAAAGGAGGGTTAATAGGAAAAGAAACGTATACATAAATAACACTTCCTGTAGAGAGTTCTCTTAAATAAAGGCAATCCTTCACAGTACGAGTTGTGACGAGTTCCAGCAAGGCTCCTCTCCTCCACCTCATAGTTTCTGCAATTGCTGCCGTCCTCTCACACTCCACTCGTATATTCTCCATTTTCTTACTCTTCTGACCGTCCTCCAATTCAAGTACAACAAGGGTTATCAATGACCAGCATGACGTCAATGCCATAGACTTCCAGTAGGTCCATGAGGAAGCTACGATCACCTTGGGGATCTAACCCCATTCCCCGGGCATGGTCAGCCGTCAACGTCTTGTCCTGGCTGGATGACACTTCCATCAGTGTCTGAAATATCCTGTTGTTCTGCTCCATAAAGAACCTTAAGGGACAACGTGAAAAGGGAAGCCGGTGAAGATGCATGAAAGCCAAAGGAGTTCCATTCCCCAAAGCCATCAACTAGGCATACTCTTGGTCCTCAGTCAGGGCACTCTAGGTAAAATCTACTGACCAAGGACCATGTTTGCAAACAAGTAAAGGTGTCCATACTATAGGAAAAGTGGCCCCTGATGAGAAAATGAATGGAGAGCTAAAACTCAAACTGGAACTGGAAGTGAAATATACAGGTTCAAATATAGTCCTCAACATGGGTCAACAATATGTGTTCTTGAAGGGATTCCTCAGAGTTGCAATTCACATGCTGAATGACCCCCAATGAGTCAAATAAAGTTCTCTATTTTGCTTCTCTTGCCATTTTTATAGCTACTCATAGTATTATTGCCAGAGGCGGGATTTTCATATTTCAAGGAATCCCACTTCCAGATCTGACCTGGAATCCCCCAGGCAGAATTCTGGAAGCAGGGGAGCAGAAGGTGCAAGCCAAGGAGAGGTTTCCCCATCACTTTCCCAGATCATTCCATGTCTTTTTAGGTTTGGAGGCAGAGGAGGGAACCCTGCTGCACACCGGCAGTATAACAAGGTTGCCAAGCAATCCCTGCAATGCTGCATGGGAAGCATAGTGTCGTTACCCATTGGGATCTAGACAAGGAACATTGCGCAGAACTACCTTTCCCAGACAGCCTTGCTGAGTATTCTGGATGTGGAAGTCCCTGAAATGCAAAAATCCTATTCCTAGTCATATCTCTTCCATTTCCTTACATTTCTGAAGGGCCGAGGAGGCATTATCCAGATAGGCTGAACCATGTGGTTACCTCCACTGGCTTCCATAACAAGACAAAGACACCCCTCTCTGTGAACCGTCTCTGACATCCATTCACCTGGAGATGCTCGGACCAGAACATTCTATATGCAATGTATACATTCCGCAGTTCAGTAAGGCCATTCCCACCAATTCACCGGGGACCAGAGATATCACAGACACCTGCATTAGCAGACTCTGTGTAATCTGAAGGCCAGGAATGTCTGCCTCAGATTTTAAACCGAGCTGAAGAAGAATCCCTTAGGGCTCTAACTCTCACACTGAGTACCTGGCTGCTGTCGCTGGTGGTGTCATCCAATGGCAACAAGTTAGAAGATGGATGGGTTCCCTTCTGTCCTCATTCTGGCGCGTTGCTATGTACACTGTGACTATATAAGCAATCCTGTAAAAGTAGTTTCCCCAACCCCACTGACAACGGGAAATGCATGTTTCCAGGGGAAATGCATGTTTCCAACATGGGTTCCCTTCTGTCCTCATTCTGGCGCACTGCTACGTACACTGTGACTATATAAGCAATCCTGGAAAAGTAGTTTCCCCAAGGCCCCTGACAACGCAGGAGCCCTTGGGAAATGCATGTTTCCAGGGGCTGCTTTGCAATCTGACATGCTGTGCTGGGCAGATGAAAATAAAACCAACCTCTCCCCTCCAGTGGCTACTGCCACTGAAGCTTCAACACCTGCTGTTGCCAAGCTCGCAGGGGTAGGTCCACACTCAATCCCAAATGGACTCAAAGAACTCAAACCCACCCCCCGCATGAGCAAAGCCCCATGCGATGACAGGAACTTACAAGATGAAGAGATCTTCTTCACAAGAACTGCAGTCCCCATCTACCTCCTGGGAGTACATCAGCATCTGCCTGAGTGAAGGAAACATCCATAGATACATATACATCCATCACACATTTGCAGGATCTGCAATGGCTTCCTGTAGCCTTCAAATAACAATGGATCACAACTAGACCCAAGAAAACCAGGACCAGCTCCTTGGCCATTCTAGCCTATATCACAAGGGAAGGCCTACATTTGGACAGCAGGCTTTCCAATCTTGGGGCTTTGTTCATTTCTAAAACTCCTTTTCCTGCTCTCCTCCTTTTGTGTGGAGCTTGCAAAAATTTACATTTTTGGACTACAACTCTTGAGAGTTTCCCAGCCAGCATCATAACTTTTCCCAAAGGTCTCCCCCTGCCCCCGACCTTTGAAGAACATGCTCAGCATGACGTAAAGTGGTTTGAAGCTGGGAACTCCTCGGAAACTCAAGAAAGAGTCCCATATTCAAGCTAGCCATTACGCAAACAGAGATTCTCTCCTGCAACATTTGATGCTACCTCTGGTCATTCAGCCTCCGGTATTTTTCCTTGTCTGCACTGTTGATCTTCAGCAATGGCTTCAGATGGTCATGGTGTGTCTTCACATTCTGGTTATCCACATAGATGTCATACAGATCTTGCTTCTCTTCAAAGATCTTTTCAGTCGTGCCTACCATGAAAAGAGCAGGAGAATAGGCTGGATCAAGGGAAAGTTAATACCACTTGGTTCTCACTGAAATCAACAGGACAAGTTGATATCAGTTTAGACGTAGTCTGGCTCCACAGCCATTTAAGTTCACTTAGTTCAGACCTCTAGCAGAACAGTCTGTCCATTCCATCGGGGGGCAGAATGGAAGAAGGGTGGCCCCACACAATTTTTGCTCCAAAACAAATTCTTTAAGCATCCCATTTATAATCAGTAGTGTAGTTCATGTGTTGCATGTCTGAATGATCCCTCCATAAAATAAGAAGGGGGAGACATACAAAGGACTAGGGTTAAGTCTAGCACTAAGACACTGGTTTTCTACATGTAGGGGAGGGCTTTCGTAACTGCTGTGAAACATCCCAACATTCTGGCCCTACCAGAAGATGTAGTGGGGGAGAAAAGTTGAATATTTAATTTGGCCTAATGTATAATTAGGGACGTGGTGGCGCTGCGGGCTAAACCGCAGAAGCCAGTGCTGCAGGGTCAGAACACCAGCAGTCGTAAGATCGAATCCACGCGACGGAGTGAGCGCCTGTTGCTTGTCCCAGCTCCCGCCAACCTAGCGGTTCGAAAGCATGCAAATGCGAGTAGATAAATAGGGACCACCTTGGTGGGGAGGTAACAGCGTTCTGTGTCTAAGTTGCACTGGCCATGTGACCACGGAAAATTGTCTTCGGACAAAACGCTGGCTCTATGGCTTGGAAACAGGGATGAGCACCGCCCCCTAGAGTCGAACACGACTGGACAAAAATTGTCAAGGGGAATCTTTACCTTTACCTGAATGTATAATTTGACTCATCATTGCATCATGTTCGTTGTAAAACCTATGAGATGGTTGACAACAAAAGATGGCTTGATTTTGGCCCAAACATTTGCAGCAGCAGAATTGTGGAAACTCCCTCTACACCAGTGGTTCCCAACTTTGAGTCACCCAGGTGTCCTTGGACTTCAGCTCCTAGGATCCTTCACCACTAGCCATGCTTGCTAAGGTTTCTGGGAGTTGTAGTCCAAGACCTGGGTGACCCAAGGTTGGGAACCACTGCTCTAGACCACTGACATACTTACAAGCCACATACGACATTTCCGTCTCCAGCATTTCAATGTCCGCCACATTGACGTAGAAGAACGGCTTGGATTCAGGGACAGTTCCACCAATGCCGGGCAAGGAGACATTGGCAAGGCAGCAACAGCAATAAACTACAATGGAAGACAAAAGAAAAATGAAGGTGATTCATCCAAAGATGGACAAAGAGGCTTCTAGTTTCAGTACGTGCCTGTAAAAATTAATATATGCTTAAAGAACTTAAAAACAGCAGCCTGCAAAACTCCTTTTGCAAGAAGAAACACCCACACCCACATGAAACAACCAAATTACATTTACTGGGTGAAAGGCCTTATTCTCAGCATCTAAAAAAAGATTTGCTGCTTATTTAAGAGGAGCACGTCATATGTTTTACTTAAAGGCAATGTTTAGGTCTAAATTGGTAAGCAAGAATCCAATGGAATAATTATCCTGGTGGCATGTCCATCAACATAAATTTCAGTGGTGAGCTGCCATTAGTTTAAGATGCTAGTGTTTGAATGTCTTGTCACGTGCCAAGTCATGCGAGTGGTGCATGACAGAGAATATACCCACCAACTTAACGTGGCCATTAGCCACTGAGATTTATGCCTATGGATTTACACTGGCGAGTATAAGTTAACAGGCCTTTGGCCATAGTATTCTGATCCAGAGTTACTCAAATAGAGGTCTGCAGATGCTTTGACTTCCAGCATATGGTCTGTGGGATATTGGAGATTATTTATTTGCATTTATTTATATGTATAAGAATAATTATGGGTCATCAATAAGATGAAAGAGACTGTTCAGTGTAGTTTACAGAATTCATACAACAAACATTGTAACATTAAAATCCAATTAACAACTTAATAACTGAGAAAATGGAACAGCAGGACTAGAATCCATCAAATGGAGACACTAAAATCCACTGTGAAGAAATGCACATACTAATGCTAATATAGCCCTTAAGGAAAAACCCTCCGAGGATAAATGTATCTTGAGGATGCTTCTCAAAGATTCAAAGACATCTGGAGGCTGGTGATGTGCTCCATAGCTGTGGCACGACCACTGAAAATTGGCATCATGCTTACAGACTCCATTACCAGTTGGTGTCCTGCTTTACTGGTCTCTCCCAATGCACTATTTTCCACTTGCTCTAGAGGGTGGACTATGAGGGTCTAAGTCTGAAAATGAGTGGGCAGATTCTGGGAGCCTAAAGTCTGTTCTCCCCTGATGTATTAAGTGTGCATTTCCTTTGTGTCGGTTGAAAAACATAAAAATTCCCCCGCCCACATAAAATGTTTTAGGAATGGAGAAAGTTGTCTATCTTAGACTGGTTATCCATGTAGTTCAGACTACTAACATCTCTCCTCACTGCTACTAGGGTTTTTTGGTTGTTTGTTTCTGGGTTGGGGGGATTGGTGGAGGGTTGTTATTGTTGTTTTAACCTGAAGATGGCCTGGTTGGACCTGGAACCTAAAGGCGAGCAGGCTCTCTCCCATGGAACTACTTTGCTTCCTCACGTTTGAACATGACATATTTATTCAGACATTCTGAAAGCAAAAGATATGGATAACTCCATATTCTGCCACAAAAAATGTAATAAAGGCCCATGCTAGCCCTCTCACCACCTCAAATTTCATCAACAACGTGACCCCTCACAAAGCCTCTCACAAAAGCTTTTCTTTTAAATCCTTAGGCCTTTAAAAATCCTTTGGTGCCCTCAAGAGGGCACAGAAAGTCAATTGCATCCTGTTTTGAGGGGGTCCCAAGCATCCCCTCGCCCTCATTTCCAAATGTTAACAATTAAAGAATGGCTATTAGAAGCTGGAAAGGGGTTTTTCCAGTTTGAAAAACCCAGCCCACGGTAGATGTGCTGTGCTAACATCTCTCTGGAGGACCCCTTAACCACCTGGAGTATAACATGTGAGGGCAGATATATTCTCAGCCATGAGTTTGCAGCTCCTCAACGACAACTCTCATACCTCTGTAGCAGACCACACCCACAGGAGGCGGTGAAAATATCAAAATGCGTTTGCGAAGCAAGGCAAACTTCCAGAGGGTAAGGATCTGTTCCCCAAAGAACTTGATGAACTGAGACATACAGCCGGCAGGGTGGGTGATCTGTAGACCGAGAGAAAAAGGGCAACGGGGATGAATGAAGAAATAATGACACAAAATGGCTCCCATTTTGACTGCTGAGGTGAGGGCAGCTAAAACCAAAGAACGGCTCTGAGAAGGGGAAACGGGGGGGGGGAAGGAAGG